CCTAAAATTTTGGGTCGAAGTGGAACCTAAAACCATTATAGAAATGAGCATAACATAGATCAGGATCTGATATGGTGGCAGTTTTTCTTTTAACTAGCAAGATAAATTTTGCACTATTATATTAAAATATTAAAAAACACAATAAAAATATTGTTTCAAAATGTGGACCGTCCAACACTTACCCGGCCGCTTGATGGTCCAGAAGGCTTGGGCGCATCGCTCACGCCTAGGCAGTCAAACTAGGCAGCGGGCGGTAGTTTTTGAGCGCCGGCCTAGGTATTATGGCACCCGCCTACGCGGGCGTTCAACATCCGCCCTGGGCGGCCGCCCAGTGCTTGCGCCTCATCCAAGGTTAGAAATGAAATTTTTAAAAAAATAAAATAAAATAAAAAACATAAAACTAAAAAATAAAAGCTTTTAAAGGGTGCGTTTTAGGTCCATTTGAGACCTAAACCCACAAAAATTCATGAAAGAAACCTCTAGATTTGAGATTTTTATTGGATTGAAGTGTTTCTCAAAATTTGTAATAAGACCACGTTGTTGCCAATATTATAAGGGGTGATTATTATTATAAAAAAAAAAATTGTATTTCCCCAACTTAAGATTACATAAGTCTTTCTTTCAAGAACGAGCAAAGAAGACTGATAGGTTGGAGACTCTCTCTACACAGCGCTTCTCTTTTAATGTTTTATCATGTGAAACCATTCCATATGGTCAATAGAAGTCCAATTTGAAACAAAAACTAATATGATCTTGTCGGAGAAATTTTTTTTTTTCTTCTTTTTCACCTTTTTTTTTTTTTTTTTTCTTTTGGCAAATATCACTTACCATCAGTCTTATTACAATAACTCTTTTCAAAGAAAATAGAACTAACAAATCGAAGATCTTAAAAACCTTGATGTCATTAAATCAATTTTCTTTAATCAAAGAAACAACCGCAATTCTTATGCTTGAGAATATACAGACTATATAATTAAATATGGTAAGAAACAAAAAGAACATGGTCAGATTACCAAACCCTCTAATGCTAAGACCATATTTTATTTCTATTTAAAAAATAAACCAAAAATAAATTATAAGCAACATCTAAAAATGGGGCATATTTTATTTTCTATTTAAAAAATCAACAAAAAATAAATTATAAGCCACATCTGGGAAATACATTGCTGAACAAATAAAAAATAAGGCCCTAATAGAGATTGAATAATTCCTACACAATTAGTGAATAATCATATTGGCCCCAATATTGAATTGTCGGATCAATAAAATAATAAAATTTAAAATAGTTTAGATGAACTTAACAAGAAATAAAAGTTATAAAGAGTCAATATGGATGTACCAATAAAATTTTTAATAGTTTAGATGAACTGAACAGGAAATAAAAATTATAAATATGTATTGATAAAGTAAAGAAGCATTGCATTTAACAATAATGGAACCAAATTGCCACTCAAGCTACCCCTTGAAGACTATAATTTTGCTTAGCGAATTTGTTTTGGTTGATCAAAATAAGATACTAATTAAAACCCATTTATAGAATAAAAATATGTTTATATTTTGCTAGGAGAAAACTAAACTACAAAACATATACTTATAATGATAGAATTTATGCTATAGAAAACAATTCAAATAGCTAGAGTTGATACCTTCAATCCCCTCCAATGTTCTAAGCTATAATGATTCCCCTTCCAATAATGCAAGTTGAAATGCATCTTGAACTCTTAAGTTTGAGATGTGCATGTTCAAATGAAGAGTGAGTTTAAGCAAACCATTTATGTATATGAAAACACTCGTGAAAGCATATACACACTCAATCCATGTCAAGTAAGAGTTTCACACATAGAAGAGCCAATCACACTGAAAGCATGTCAAAGCATACACATTTTGTGGTAGGCCTAATCACACTCACAGAATTCCATGCAAAATGAGAATCTCACGCTTGGGAGGTACTCTCAAAATCAGGTAGAACTGTGAACTTTATCTGGTTATATGATCATTTCACTCATAATGTTATGCCTCAACTATATAATTGTGTCCCTAGGTTACATAAACACGGATGAGCATATTAGCATTTGTTATGATTGCGATTGCCAAAATAAAAATCTCAAAACTAAGTACTTTAATGGTGACATTTCACAAATAAAGTTTAATAAGTGTTTATGTTTCTAAAGTGCAGGATGTGAGCATGATGTCCTTGGACATTACTATCCTTCATGCATACATGTGTTCATTTTTTTTTTTTGAGGGCCTGAATAATACAAGATATATCTAAAAGGCATGGGGTAGGGAGACTTGTTGCTCATTCATGAATAGAGATTTAAAACAAATAGCGTGTTGCAGCCATTGACACCACAACCAATCACGCCTCTGCACAAAACAAGGCATGACATTGGTGTTGAAAAATAAAAAAGCAGTTTTCAAGATTTATATATTTATCTATCCATGTATGTATACACAAAGGTGTTGTTAGTATAAGGTCCAGTTGTTCCTTTCTTCTTTTTTTCATTTCTCTTTTTTTGTTTTTGGGTGAGTCAGTGAGGAGAGGGCCCCAACTCTTGATAGGAATTAAGTCTAGGACGTAGTATTGAAAATCGTTTAAGTGCTAATCAATTAAGCTCAAACTCTTTTCTTAGTATAAAGTCTAGTTTATAAAGTAAATCTGAACATCATTTACTTCAAAAAGACTTAAGAAAAAGGTAGTTCTGGCATCGAAGATCTCTACGATGGGCCTTCAAATCTATTTCTAACCCTAATTTAAAAGACCAAAAACATCATAGATTTCATGGATTTATACGTACTTTAAAAAAAGATGGTTCATATAATGCATTACAAGATATATCATTTTTAAGTTTTTAATCGTCAATTTTTAAACTATGTAGTTATCGAAGTCGAGATCATCAATTTGATTTTTTTTGCATCTATAATTGTATTTTTTATCATGAAGCCTCAGCCTTGTATATAAGGTTATGCAACTCGCTTTTGCTTGTGTAATCCTCAATTTAGACTTTGGATATATTTATACGAAAAATACATGTAATTTAGGCGCCATTTAACAACCCTCTAGCCAAGCCCGAAAGGATAATTCAAAATACCACTATTCAAAATGACCAAATTACCCATAACATCCCTTTAACCCCATCATGAAAAATCAAATCAAAATATCAATACCACTCACTAATTGACCAAATTTCGGTTGTATTCTTATTAATTAACTAATTGATTGTATTCTCATTAATTAACTAATTAATATTTTCACGGATGTCTGATAGTGTTTGAATTTTAATTTTTTTTTTTTACAAATCCAAATCACTTGAAATTTTAGGTGTGTGTTCTTATCATCAAGGCTCACGTAGTAAAAATATAAAAAATTAATAATTCTTGAAAAAACAGTTGACCAAAATAACCCCAAAACTTTTCGAGGTATTTTGGTCAATTTATTTCATATTAATAAATATTTTTGATATTTTTCGTAGATTCGCCTATTTCTAAAGAACACACGCTTAAAATTTTAAGTGATTTGGATTTGTAAAAAAAAATTAAAATTCAAACAGTATCGAACATCCGTGATCGTCAAAATCCGTGGACATTTATTGTAGTAGTACGCACCATACAACATCTTTTC